TATATATATATATATATATATATATATATATATATATATATATATATATATATATATATATATATATATATATATATATATATATATATATATATATATTAACTTACTTGAACTATTAATAGCAATGAGCATGTAAATAATATAAATGCTTGATTTTAAAAAGTAACTTCTTATAAAAAGGCAATTTCACTTTAAAAGGTTTGTTTGTTCTGGGAAGATGATGAAAACAAAAAAAACCTTCATCTTTATCAAACATCACTCCCTCAGCAGACAGAGTGGAAAACTAAAAATTTAATGTTGGAAGCAGTGAGATAACATAATTTCAAATGAAAGACATTCATGACCGTTTACACCAGATCATCTTTGACATGTTTAACGTGGTTATATAATTGCATACTGATGTCCCTCAGGGATGATTTTTCTGAACATCCCATCTGCCGGGGGAGTTGGGACATCTGACAGCTGTTAATGACCGAAATTAGCATAAAAACATGCAAAATAAAGATTTGCCTTGCATGCTCTGACCCTGATATTATTACAACAAGAACTCCTGCTGTGTAGCTACATTAACAGAACTAATTTACAATTTTCTTGAGCAATCTTCGCTTGGAAATGTCGAGCGAGAGTATCAGCATCAAAAGGTATTTACTGCTAAGTGGGGTCGTGCCACAGCTCTTGTGAAGCTATAGTGCAAATTCAAAACAATTCTATAACAAAACAAACATAGTGACTCAGAAACAAGTGGCAGAGAGATTAAAATAAATCATTAAAAGGATTCTCTATCGAAGAGTTGTGTAGTTTGTGCACTTAGTGTGCAGCTTTGATGAAAGTTGGACTGTTTGCTAATTAAAGGGAAGTTTGAGTGTACTTTCTAAAGAATAAACCTTATCCACCCAAGCTGACAGTGAGCAATGACATTCTGACAGAAACATGGACGGCACGTCATTCTGAGAGATATGAGAAACCAAACTCCAGCTGAAGGTGAGAGCCAATATGTGTTAATATCAGAAAACCATGAACAATGTTGGGAAACAGTCTTTCTTTCTTTTTTAAAAAATTAATTTTATTAATTTTTTTTTACACTCAAAACATTCAGACAAGAATAACCAGAGTAAATACAGCAAGTAGTTTCATTTATCGAAAGAAAAAAGATGGCTGATGTGTGTGCACGCGCACTTGTGGGTGTGAGCGTGTGAGCGTGTGCGTGCGTGCGTGCGTGCGAGCGTGTGTGTGTGTGTGTGTGTGTGTGTGTGTGTGTGTGTGTGTGTGTGTGTGTGTGTGTGTGTATGTTAAAGTTATTTTCTTTGAGCTTTACCACCCTAAAAAGTTACTACCGTGACCTGGGGTCATCAATGAAATTTTTTTAATGTTTGATCTCGTTTAATGAATTAAGTCTGGACTGGGAAAAAAAAAAAAAAAACATACTATCTTCAACAAACCTAGTCTTTTTTGTTGTTTTCAGCACTTCTGCCCCTCTTGATGTAATGATACCGTAGGCTGTGATGTAAAACCACCCACGGACATCTGCACTGCATCTTATTTTTTTTGTCATTTATGCTGCTTCATCTACTTGCCCCAGGCTTTTCAGCCAGTATTCACACCAGCTGATGTTTTTTTTTTCTTTTTAAACTTTCTTTCCATTCAGATAATTAACTCTGAATGAAAACACTTCTTTTACATTTGTTAACCTCTGTGTAACCAAGACAGTCCCTTTCCCCCCCCCAATATGAACCAACACATCAAAATTGAAAGCCTTGTTGATATAAATTAATGGAAATGTTTTCATTTTAAATGCGTATTTCGCGTTAAAATAAATGCCACAAAAACACGCACGCGCCTCCCCAGACTGCCACGGTCTTTCGTGACGTAAGAGCAGCCGTGCCTTTAAAGCTGCTGGAAACCACTGCATGTTAATCCTGCTGGAGTCTGCACTGTGAGGACGGATTACAATCAACTCTAATGCACTTGAAGATGACAGGCTTCCCCGAAGCATTAATACAGTGGTATCCTGCTTCAATTTGACCTGGCACGGTGTTGACTTTTTAGCAGAAATGTGAGGCTCATCAGCAGAAGCTGATCTGATCTCTCTGCGCGCTGAACACAGAAGGAGTGATGCATTGAGGTTAACAGGTGTCCCCCCCACCCCCCGTCCCCTTTCTTTTTTCTTCTTGGAAAGGAGTTTTCATTTTGGAGGTATGTGCGTTTTGAACTTAACGCGAGGCTCTCAGGTTGCGCGAGCAAAATCAGCCCAGGGAAAAACTTGAGGAAAAATACCGCTTTTCTTAAAAAAAACAAAAACAAAAGAAAACAAAACTTTCCACGTATGAAATGAGTCGCACGGTTGCTTTGTCCAGTGCGACCAAACTCCTCCAGATCAAAGACAGAGTTAGATGAATGGACCACAGGATGTTTTCTGGTCAGGGTGCTGTGAATTACAGCTTCAACCAGAGCGATGACCTGGAGCCCGGCGACGCGTCCGCGGGCGCGGCGAAGCTCTCCCCGGCGGGCTTCGTCGTGCTTTCCGTCGTCCTGGGCTTCATCATGACTTTCGGCTTCCTGAACAACTTCATAGTCCTGCTGCTGTTCTGCAAATACAAGAAGCTGCGCACGCCGGTGAACATGCTGCTGCTGAACATCAGCGTCAGCGACATGCTGGTGTGTTTGTTTGGAACCACGCTCAGCTTCGCCTCCAGCATCCGGGGAAAGTGGCTGCTGGGGCGCGGCGGCTGCAGCTGGTACGGCTTCATCAACTCCTGCTTCGGTACGTGTCTTCTTCTGCTCTCACAATCTCCAGCAGAACGTGTCCAACTCAGTTTCGTTTTTCGATTTAATGCATTGGTTTTTACTTTTTTTTATTATTTGAGTGATACAAACACAAATAACCAATGAAATTGGCATAAATCCTACATGAGGGACACATGTACAGTGTACATGCAAGAGACAGATGTCACAGGAGGGAAGAGGGAACAGAGTGATATTTTTGTTAAACAAATTCCCTTTTAGACTTGGAATAGCTACAGTTTTTACATGTATCTGTAGTTTCTTTAACTATAACTTTATGGTGCATTTAAAAAAAGAAGGATGGCTGACTTAACTTCACAATGAAATCCTGTCAGCTACTAACACACTGCCTGTCTATAAAGCCCTAAAGCAAACAGTCGCTACCCATATTTAGCAAAGCAGATATGGTTTTGGATAATTATAGGATAGATGATCATATTTCAGCTGGTAGCAGTGATCAGCCTCGTTTCTTAAACAACCATGTCAGCAGACACATCCATGTGGTCAGGAAAAATATGTTCATTTATTTTAGAAAGACTTGATGAATAGTAATCCAGTAATGAAAACATCTAAGGGGATTGCTGGAACTTCCCAAATATTTGGTGAAAAACCTTCCAATGCATTATTCAGAACAGGAATGATAGTGGGGGAACCACCATATTTACAATAAGAAGTGTGTTTGTAAAAAATAAACTTTAAAGATTATGATTAGCAATTTCTTAAATGTGTGGTGAAACCAAACACAGTAGAACTCACAGGGTTTTTTTTTTCAGTAGTGAAAGTAAGAACGTTTCCACACATAGTGCGAAGGAAGCTCAAGGAATTGGGACGAAGCGGATCTGTGAGGGTAACCAGGGAAAAACTTTGCTGGGCAGCAGAAAGACTGGAGTCTGGATCAATGGAAAAATGCCATGTGTGTTGATGAATCCAGATTTTACCCTGTTACAGAAGAAGAGAGGCAGAGGAAGTGATGCACCCATCATACTTTCTGCAAAAGCCTGAAGGGGTACTGCTGTGATCTGGGGTTGTTGCAGTTGGCCAGATCACAGACATAGACAGTGCCAGGTTATTAGGCACTGCACACTCCCTGGTTACCTTAAAGTTGAAGGATCTTTGGTTTCCACTCATTAACTACCTCTGTGTTTCATGATCATTTTACACATCTGAAATAAACTCTTGCAATTAAGGTAGATGTGTTGCCTTTCAGCCATCTGACTGGCAGCAACAGGTGGGGAAGCGAGAGTGCATCAATAGATAATTGCTCCATTCTGACCTTGAGCAGTCTCTCTAGCTATAGTTATTTTAACATACAGTACAGATTATAAACCAGTTGAAATGAATAGAGCTTTTCAATAAGATACCTATTTCAGTAAAGTTTGAAATGGCAGCAAATCTCTTAAATTGTCAAACCTAATTAGATGCTGCGCTGGAAGTATTTTTCTCTTGTTGTACAACCGGGACAGAGAGGCTGATGGAGATTAGAGGCACTAATGTTGTTTCTACTTGGGTAGCAATGCAATTATAAAAACAATTATTTTAAATGCGGCAAATTTGCTTTCATTCAGAGCTTTAAGGCGGTTGTTTAACTAATAGTTTCTGACAGTTTGGGCAAGATTAGAAGATGACACGCTATTATTCTGACATGCACATTAGCAAGTGTTATATTATTACTGAATATTTCAGAGTTGGGTTAAATCTGTCGCATTTTTTTCATGAGGGACTTTTACTGCAGAGCGAGAGAGTTTTATTTACCATATTGTTTGCACTGCGATGCACAAACTGCAACTGTGACAGTTTGAAAATGGTGAAAAATACCTTATTTAGTTATCACTTAAAATGTCTGCTCAAATCTGCACTCACTATAGAAAACTAAAATCCAATTTTTACAAACTATCTCACCATGTTCAAGATACACTTTCCCTTAAAGACAAACACTAAAGTTAGTTTTTTTTATGTACATGTTTTGATGCCGATGCTGGGGATTGCAGAGACTGTGGCTGAAGACTTTTTGTGTATCTGTCCAGAAGGTGGTGTGACAGAGTAACAAATTGGATTCTCCAGTAACTGCTTCTGGAAATATTAGATAAGACCGCTGAGCTCATTTGCATTCTTGTTAGCTGCATATTGCAGGGATACTAGCTGAACAGCTGATATCAATGTGAAGTCCCAGGAGACTGGGCCATCAGGTGTGAGTGAACAAATAAACCAGAGCTTGTAAAGCCCAAAAACTAATTTCGTTTTACCAATTACTAGAAAATCCTTCGGCTCAGAGCATCACTTACCTGAAGAGCTTCAAAATGGACATTTTCTTTTGCATGATTTGACCAGAACCAACAGGCAAACAGCTACATATGTCTCCTGATGTTAAATGTAATGGCAAAGTTCTTAATCAGCATTTTACCTGCCATTTCTACAAATTTTACCTATCTTACTTGTCATTCTGCTACGTTAAATGACAGGCAGTGGTTTAGGCTTGAGCTGCAAGTGAAAGACCAAATGTCATTCTGAAGTGTTGCAAATAGATTCCATTAGCTGCAAAGTACAAGAGGCAACACGGACAGCAAATGCTTATTTCAAGGCGTGATTTTTAAAGCTTTCATAATTTGCTGTCAGGCTTCAGATAATTTCTGGTTTTCCACTTTCAATAATGTCAAGCGTGTCGACAACCGACGCAGACGGCTTGTTAATTTTGCTGCCTTTAGCTGATATACAATGCCTTGCAAAAGTAATCATATATACACATTGAACCTTTTCACATTTTGACTCATTATGGCCACAAACCTCTTTGTAAATTATGTGGATTTTATGCATCTTTGCTATGTCAAAGGAAAATGGCAAATTGGGTCTGACTTTTTCACGGGCAAAAATATCAGATTAGGGTCACATTCACCTGCTGTGTGAACGTAGCTTATCCTGGCAGGCGTGCTGCTGTGCCATTCACTTTCCTTGTTCATGTGATTGACTGAAGACAGCTCTGTGACTTGCTCAAGGTTGAAATGTTGTTTCATAAGCTAACTCTGCTTTTAGCATTTCTACAACTTCATCCCTGAATGGTCTGCTCTGTTTCTTGGCCTTCATGATGTAGTTTGTTCTCTTATCTTCTCCAAAAAAACCTCTGAGGCTTTCACAAAACCACTGCACTTATTCTAAAATTAAATTATTTACAAGTGGACTCTGTTTGCTCTGATTTTTATTCTCAGATTCTTACTCCTAAATGAAGTAACACTGAAATGATAAACAGCGGAGGGTACAGGAACATTTTAAAAAGTCCACTTTGAGCATTTTTTGCTATAATTTTATGGACATTTTCAGTTTTCAGACACTGACAGTTGGCACAGGGAATCGTTTCTTTGCATAGTCAAAAGATTTTTGTCATTAGTCTTGAATTTACATGTTTTTTTGTTTTCCATGCTCTAGATGCAAAAAAAAATTCATTACTTTGCTTTTGTACATGTTTGCTATTTTTCCTGGCTTTAAAGCCAAAATTGTATTTAATAATTATTTATATAATTTAATCACAGAATAAATTTCTTTTATTAGCAAGTGTTCAAAAACATTTAATAGCCCATCTTTATTAAAACAACTTTTTCTTTAGGAAGATCAAGAGCAAAAATATCTCTTTGGATTATAAAGGCTGCTGACCTCATTTGTATTGCATAAATCCAACAAAACTTTTGATTTAACATGACAAAATCTTAAGCAACTCTCTGCATACAGAACAAAAGACTTGAAAAGGTTTATTGAGACAAGTACATTTCCATCAAAATATCTCTAATTTCTCTGCACCTATGGAGCAGTTTTGAACTTAGTCTTATTTGTTTCTATATTCATGTTTGTTTGCTTTCTTATAATTTCAGAGTGGGGGATTTTGGTGAAGCATTATGATAATTTCATATCCAGAAGCATTGAATATTTCATGCTGTGTTAAAAATGAGCAGGTGTTTGGACTTCATCTTGCCTCTGGCGTCTGTGCTGCACGGAAGGCGCATGATTTCTGCATGAACAAAGCTTGATCCACTGCCCTTCTGAATTTTCCTGTATATTCTGTTGTGTCATGGTACGGGCATATCTGGTGGAATGCAGGCCTTGATTCTTAGAAATGAAAGTCTTTTCCTTTCAAACGTACAAAAAAAGTACGAAGTTGGTCTTTGTGCTCATATTTTGAGGTTTAGATAGTAATTGAACCTGGAACTGGAAAGTCTTTTGGCATTTTACCAAATCATTCCTTTGTTGGGGCAGCAGTACACAATCATTCACAGCTTTTGTGGGTGCCAGTCAAACATAATAGATCTTAACTTTAATAATTTATTTCAGCAAGACATCGTTCTTGCTTTTTTTTGCTTTTACTTCAGATAAGATTGCCAGGAGACTAACCAGAGAATCATAATCAAAGATTAATTTGCATTAAGTTGCAACGTCACGATTGATCACCATATGCTCCAGCCGGCTCGATTCAAACAGGGATAAAAATCAAGCAAGGCGCACAAAGGATCTCATATATTCTCCTGAGGAATGGCAAAGACACAGACATCTGCCATCTTTTCCAACATCTGTGTCATATCTCATCTGCTGTACAATCACCTTTTCAATCTGTTTACCTTTTGCTTTTCTATATGGAACCAAATGCCAGGAGCTGGCCTCAGTGGGATGACTCATGCTCATCTGCTTTCAGTCTTTATGTCTTGACTTTTACCTTGTACGTGTGAGATTCCTGCCTACCTGTTGCCGGCTTCCGCAGCATGCCTGTCTGCGGATAGTGTTCGTTTCAAGTAAGCATGTTTTTTTTTTAAAACGACACGGTCTTCTTTGTAACTTGGCCTTGCGGTAGCGCGCCTCCCCAGCATGGTATGTCGCTACAGGGGATCTTAACGTTGCCAAATGTTGAGAAAACAAAAAAAAACAAAAAAAAACCAGACTTACTCCTATAAATACACTGTTGTATTGTGATTTATATAATGTATATACAATCTTTTACATAGT